TAGGCTTATGCATATAATTTGTGAATGGTTCTGACAGAATAATAAAATAGTTTTATTATACATTTTTAATGTATGAAATGTCCTTTTAATTACATATTTCTTGAGCATATTTACATTTGAACAGCAGTCACATTAATTCTGGAGGAAAATTAATATGTAAAACATACACACTTGGTATACATTTTCATTTAAATAGATACTAAATGGTTTTGGTTTCTGATTGACCTCATGGTGCTAATATTTTCTATTTGAAACTCAACGTGGACATATAAAAGTGCTAAAATCCAGTTGAATATTTTTATGTAAGTATATATTATTCTGTGTGTTTTTTAGAGGTACCAATCTTGGGAAAAAGAAGCAACACATTTGTCATATACCAGGATGTGGTAAAGTCTATGGGAAGACTTCACATCTGAGAGCTCATCTGCGTTGGCATTCTGGAGAGCGCCCTTTTATTTGTAACTGGATGTTCTGTGGTAAAAGATTTACTCGAAGTGATGAATTACAGAGGCACAGAAGAACACATACAGGTTACTACAATTTACTTTTAACAGACAAAAATGAATTATAGGGCTACCTAACTACCTTTTTTTTTTTTAGCATACCTTACTGAACTGAATATTTAAAATACAGTGAATTACATCACATTTCTACCTTTAGTAATACAAATTTAAAATAACACTAATCCCAATGAACAAGTCACTATGACTTATAGACATTGAAAATCTTCTTTTTTTCTTTTTTGAGACAAGAGTTTCACTTTGTTGCCCTCAGTAGAGTGCTCTAACATCATAGCTCACAGCAACTCTTGGGCTCAAGTGATTCTTTTGCCTCAGCCTCCCAAGTTTCTGAGACTACAGGCACCTGCTGCCATGCTCAGCTATTTTTAGAAGCGGGCTCTCTCTCTGGCTCAGGCTGGTCTCAAACTCCTGAGCTCAAGCATGCTATCTGCCTCAGCCTCTCAAAAGTGCTAGGATTACAGGAGTAAGCCATCACGTCCAGCCTGTGACACTGAAAATCTGAAGTCCCAGTTATGGTATTGTTTACTTGTTAACATTTTTCTTCTTCCTTAACATTGTAACAGAGAATAATCCTTTTTTTCTGATAAATTTGGGTATTTCACTTTTTCTATTGTTTTACTATCAGTGAGGTAAGAGAAAGAGTTAGTGCTGAGGGATGACCAAGGCATTGTTGATAGTATGACTCTTTCATTGTATTAGTTGTACATAGTGTTGTGAGGTTGTTTTATGAAGTGGTCCTAGGACTGATCCGAACTAAAGCCTAAGTTAATATAACTTAGAGATAGTTTTCTTCTGTTTAAGCAATAAAAAGTATTTATCAGTCTAAATACTAGAGAATTGAAAAACATATTTGCAATCTCCAGAGAGCTTACAAGAAGTATTGTGAAATGGAGCATGGATTTTGAAGTCATCTGGCTTCTAGTCTAAGTTTGTTATTAGATTAAGCACATACACTATCTCTGATGCTGTTTAACTCCTATTTTGTCTTTAAATATTACATGGAATAATCTGTGAGGTGTGTGTAGTACACAGATGCTCTACTTGTTTTAGTTCCTGTCTCTTTCATTGGGTAGCTAAATAGATGAGATGAACTTGCATGAAACTGCAACAATTCAATAGATAATGAAGTAAAACAAATGGTGTTGCAATTGTGGTGCTGAATATGCTGAGAATTAGAGATAATCTTTTTTTTTTTTTTT